CGCCGCTGCACCCGCCGTGGTGATGGTGGCCCCCGTGCACGGCGCCGTCACTGCCGTGCATTCCATGGTGCGCGCTGCTGTGCGAAGCGTTCATTTGGCTCTCAAACAGAGGCGCCAAGTGCGGTTACGATTGCGAAGCCCAAAGAACTGACCTGTGTCTTGTGAAGTAATAATAATTGATAATAAAACGCCAAGCAAAATGAAAAAAAAAAAAAAAACATCTACGCCCCGCTGCAAAACACCCTCCGCACATCTCTCTCCCCGGCCACGTGTGCACATTTGCCTGTTACGCAGCCAAAAATTAAAAAATCCTTTCAAATTAATTGCGCCCGATTGCAAATACTCCCGTCGCAGTGGGCCTTTTCCCCTCTCCACCGGCATTGGCCCATTTATTCGCGCCTGCCCTCGGAGGAAAAGGCCCAAAGCCTTAAACCAAAATCAGGTTGAGGAGAAACGGGGTTTTCCTTTTGCCTCCTTGCGCCGCTAAGTACCAGAGACGTGCGTGGTGGCCAGGCAACTCCCCCGCCGAGAACACGCACACGTCAGCACAATTCAGCAATCACATACCCTCGCGGTACACCCGCCGAGACCACTTCTTGTCAAAGACGAGCTCTGCATTCATTTTTGCCTTTATCTCCGCGGTGATGTAGAGGTAGTCCGCGTCGCAGGTCTGGCAGGTATCAATGTCAATGTCCGCCTCCCATCCGGGCCGCCCCATTTTCATCTTCTGCGTGATGTTGTACTTTGCGGAGAGCGGGTCCTTGTTGGAGAGTCGCAGCTCTCGCCTCAGATTGTGCTCCACGGTGGTGTTAATCCCGTCAAAGCGGTAGACACCCTCGCCGAAGACGCCGCCCACACCATCTGTGATGCACGTCCACTCGTCCTTGACGATGTCGTACGCGATGGAGCGATCCACAAACCCCCCGCGCAGGACCGTGAGGGGGGTGGGAGAGGCCGTCTCCGGCTGCGGGTTCGGACCAGCGATAGCCGGCCCCCGGTACGTGGGGAGTACCAACGCGGCGGTGCTGAGGTCCAACGCCAAGGTGTTGATCTCAGGCGACACCCAGAACGTTGGCCAGTGGCTGTTCGCCAGCGAAAGCCGCACGCGATGACCTCTGCTGAAGCGATGGGCGCAGTAGTTCAGCAGGACTTTGACACGAACCCGCTTCCCCTCCCGAAGGTATTCAATTTGCTCATCACCCGCAGCCTGCGTCAGGTTTCTCACGCCAAAGGAAACGCGGCTCACAGCACCGTCCGGCGCGACATCGCTGAGCTGCGCAAACAGCATCGCCTTTGGCTTGTCACATGTTAGCTCCACCTCGAAGGTGGGGCGCCCCAAAATATCCACCTCCTCCTGCAGCTCCGTGCCCTGAAAGACCATCGACATGCCGTCATCCATGCGCTGGTCCGCGGGAGTTTCACCCGAAACCCCAGCACCCATCCACTCGCCGGCAAGCAGGCCATGGTTCAACGGAGTTTTGAGCAAAGCGGGGGACGATTCCGGTCGCGCGACGTGAGCCGCGTCCACAAGGCGACCGTATTCAAGTCGCATCGTCGCGTTGGTAACATCTTTGGAGGGCCATGCCTCTACCCCAACCCAGTGGCCCTCGCTGACTGGGCGATGAGCATTCGGTTCCATGTAATACTCCATCCAAGCCTGGATCATTGGGCCATCCATCACGTTATTCTCCTTCCCTTTTAGCCAACGGTCCCACCACTTCACAGCCTCCTGCAAAAATCCAATTGCCGGCTGTGGGGTGCCATCCTGCGGGTAAACGTGTGCCCAGGGCCCCACATATCCCTTGCGGGGAACCTTCAGTTTTGATAGCAGGTTAAAGACGGCATTTGTGTAGGCGTCCGCCCAGCCACCCGCAGCCAATACAGGCACCTGAATGGCATCGTAGTTTTCGCAGACCGAGCCGTGCTTCCAGTAGTCGTCGTACTTTTGATGCTCCGCCCAGTCCGCAATATTGATGGGCATGTGCTCCAAGCGCTTCAGCCACATTTCCTTCCAACGGTCCCCAACAATTTCTGGATCGACAGGACGTGACTGATATGCCAGCATAATGGAGCCCCACCAGAAGTTGTCGTTGAGGAGGCAACCACCCTGCCAATGAATGTCATCGGTGAAGCGGTTATCGGTGAAGCCGACGACAATGATGGCTTTTAAAGCCACTGGACTGCGCGCTGCGACCTGGAGAGAATTGAAGCCGCCCCAAGACTTCCCCATCATACCAACACTGCCATTGCACCAGGGCTGTCTACTGATCCAGTCAATGACCTCCACCGCATCGTCTTGCTCCTGCTGCAGGTACTCGTCGTGCATAAGCCCATCCGATTCACCGCTGCCACGTATGTCCACACGACAAACTGCGTAGCCATGGCCCGCAAAGTAGCCGTGCATGGGCTCGTCCCGCGCACGTGTACCGTCACGTTTGCGGTACGGGATATACTCCAATATGGCCGGTTGGGGCACCTCATCCGCTGGAAGCCACAACCGGCACGAAAGCCTCGTGGCATCCCTCAGCTGGATAAACACATTTTCGACTGTTTTGAATTTAGTTGGAAGCGTTGAAACGACAACCTTCTGCATCGCACTTGCTAAATCGCCAGTGGAACCTGCTCCTACAACTTTCACCCTTTGACTCGGCTACCAACGGGTGGTTTTGTCTGCTTAAAAACTCAAATTTAAACTAAAACGTTCTCTTTCAACCGCGGGCATGCGCGGACGCGTGGAACGAATTGCGTTGCATGCAAGATGGGGGAGAACAACGCAAATAGACGGAAATGGAAAAGAGGCGTAGTTCACGACCACATGCCGCCCAAGCATACAAAACAAACACGAAGGAACGGAGAGAGATACAGAGAGAGACAAAGAAAGATGTAGAGAGAGGCCCCGGGATGAAGGGGGAAAGGCATTGGCAGAGCCTTGTGCTGCCGCCCCCTTCAGCACTCATCAGCGCTCAGTGACCGTCGTAAATCCCCAAGTTCTTCATGATGCGCGAGAGGACAGCCGTGTCCTCAATCACCCGGTAGTGATGTAGACGTGTGTACAGGCTGGCGTGCCCCTTCACGGCCTTCCGAAGCTCCATCGTGTAGCGCACAATGTTTCGCATCGGAACGATTGCCTTCACCGACCGCCCACCGTCTTGGACATCCACCGTGACGGCCTTACGTTCGTTCAGGGAGCCCACAACCCCGCCAATGTAGGCTGCCTCAGAGAGGTGCACCTCCACCTCCATCATCGGCTCCATCGCGGCGAGCTTAGCTTTGGAAGCAGAGCGAAGCAGCTGCAGCACAAGCGAGCGCGCCGCCTGCTGCAGCGGGCCCTCCACCAGCTGCGTGCTACCGAACTTTTTGAACGCCGTCAAAACAACCTGCACGCCGTGGAGAGGAAGACCAGCAAGAGGACCCATGTGGGAGCAATCCGTAACTGCGCTGGAAAACACATCGCTGAGGAGCCGCAGTTCCTCCTTCGCATTCCGCTGGTGA